GCAGGATTTGTTGCAGCTAATCTTGCCACCTTGCCTAATAAGTGCACCACGAAAACCTGTTATTCAATTCGGGTTGCTTTAACAACTTTTCGAGTGTTTTATTGAACCGCTATATTTTTAGGACAAAGTCAAAAAAAAGATGCAAAATAAAAAGGCACAGAAGCATCTAAGCGCCATCGATGTGCTCAGTAAAGCTGGGAGTTGACACTGGGTTTGAGAAGTGTGTATGAGATGGTGCCTTTGATCATCTTACTGGAAAGAGTTGTGCTGTGCATTTACTCTCACAATTCACAAATTGTTCTGAAAAACCCTTTAATATTAACCAGCCCTTACTGGAAACAGTTGTTGTGCTATGCATTTACGCTCATGATTCACAAACTGTTCTGAAAAACCCTTTAATATTAACCAGCTCTGAGGCAACTTTGTCTTTGTTTGGCTTTGAGCTTTTTTTTGCTGAGGGAGGATGAGGGGATGACCATGTTAAGAGACTTGCTGTAATGTTTTAGAGTTGTAGGGGACTGTAGCCATGTTTCCATCGTGGTATTTAGGGCTTAAGCACAAAAAGTTATTCATTTTCAGGAAGTCTAAGAAGTTAGGTGATAGACATTTAGTTTTTATCACTAATTTTTAGATCTGATCCAACCCTAACATTTTTATTTAAAAGAATAAAAAGCCACCAATCTCGTCAAATAAAGTTGAGGTCCCACCTGGAGAAAAGGAGGCTGAGGGGAGACCTTCTCGCTCTCTCCAACTCCCTGAAAGGAGGGTGTAGCCAGGGGGGGTCGGTCTCTTCTCCCAAGGAACAGGCCATGGGACAAGAGGAAACGGCCTCAAGTTGCACCAGGGGAGGTTCAGATTGGAGATTAGGAACAGTTTTTACATGGAAAGGGTTATTGCACATTGGAATGGGGCTGCCCACGGAAGTGATGGAGTCACCATCCCTGGAAGGATTTAAAAGACAGGTAGACATGGTCGTTAGAGACATGGATTAGTGATGGTTTTTGTCAGTGTTGGGTTGATGTTGGGTTGAGTTGGGACCTGATGATCTGAAAGGTCCCTTCCAACCCAGGCAATTCTATGATTCTAAGTAATACTACAGCACGACAAATCTCTTCATGTCAAACACATCATAATTTTACATGTTTTGGAATAGAAGTAAGCATTTCCCAGTCATTACTCATGGACCATTTATGAAATACATGGGGGTGGGTGGCAGCAGAGATGATGTGATGGTGCGTGCCGGTGTTGTCCCTGGTGTGGAGGGTGTGTTACAGGAGAGGGACACTCAGTCTCTGGTATTACATGGGCGTGTGTCTTTGTAAGCCAAAGAGGAGATTCCTCACTGGGTAAATATGCCAGTTTATTGACAAAACCAGAATGCCTTCTGAGATGTCTGCCACAACTCAACAGAAATACTGTGAAGTTGAGTTCTTTACTCAGAACACATGGGAAACAAGAAAAAAATCCCAAACCTTTAAATTAAGACTTTCTTCTGGAGGTCTACATTTCTTACTAAAGGACATATTGCTACTTATTAAAAAAAAAAAGAAAGGAAAGTAAAACTGTTTTCAGTGGTGATAGTAGTTTGAGATTTGTTTTTATTTTCAGGAAGGCTTTTACAGAAATAACCTTGATTTTATAGGCTTGTATTCTATTTTATACCACAATCAGAAAGAATGATTGCATTTAATATGGAGAGCTGAACAATTAACAGAGTTAATAGTCTTAAAGATAAGATAGGAATGCTTTCTGGATGTGACTGTAAGGTCATCAGATTTAAAGAAAAAACCCAACAAAACCACATGAGCAAAGCCATCATTGTGTAACTTTCTCTTCCTTCACAATTACTGAAAAAATTTATTTTGAAAACTCATTTCTCACTGAAGTTTACAGTGTCATTTATCTCCGAGGAGTGGTTCACAGTTTGACTAATTGTACAATTTTAAAACTTCTGCTTACCTAAGGCTAATATTTCTTTGCTGTCAGTAGTGGATGACTTGAGTTGGAATTTGAAAGAACATCTCAGACAACAGGCTGCAAAGTCATTCAGAATTTGGGGAACGGTGTACATGACCAATATGAAACAAAACCTCTGTCTGGGGGTCTGGATACTGCTCAACATAATAAAGTTTGGACCGATGTAGGATCAAAAGCTGTTAATCATCAGCTTCTTCCCTCAACTGCTCTGATTGTAGGACTGCATTCTGAGCCCCCTGAGGCAGAAAGTATATTAATATTTTACAGTAGTCATTTAGTATACATTAATTGTTTATTGTTTACTTCATGATGCCGAAAATCCCCCAGAAAGCACATTTTTACAAATGCAAGATTTGGCTGTAAGAAGTTTCCATAGCAAAACAGAGGAAAAAATAGTAAAAAGAATGTCTTTCCGGTAGTGCACATTTTTCCATATTAAAAAATCAATTGAAATGAGTTTTTATATGACAGAAGTATGAAGGGTCAATTCATTCCCTCTCTTTAGTAGTCACTGAGGGACCCGTTTTGGCAGCTCTGAAGAAGTTCTGCTAACAGCGGTGGGAATAGCAGGGTTTGATCATATCATACATGATATCTTCCATCTTCCGTTCATCCTTTTCTTTTAAATTCCCTCAAAAACATTTACCAGAATGTTTTTGGGACTGGAGTTTTGAAATACAACTCAGCTAGTCTTAGATATGTTTGTGTTTGTGCAACGTACTATTTTGGGATGAAAAAGCCAGAGATTATTTATAGAAAATCTTATTAAAACCTATGCACTAAGGAAAAAAGATAGTTCTGGTTAACATATACACTTTTGTATATTATTTTAAGTAGCATATTTAATGCAATGAATCATTTGTCGTGTAACTAATAACCAGTTTTGTAGCAAATACTACACAAATTACTAGTTACACATTTCTCGTGTAACTAGTAACCAGTTTTGTAGCAAATACTACACAAATACAACAAATTCTGCTGCTGCTGAAACTTCAAATTGAACCATTGTGTAGCCTAAAATTACTCCATCTCATGATGACACTATTGTGATTTCCTAAACAAATATGAGCTGTCAACAAATAGCTTTTCATCACTCTTAATTTAATAGGCTTCTTTAAGAGAAATTTAAAATTATTAGCTATGGTTAAAGACAGTGAAACTTTGTAAACTTCCAGTACTGTGAAATGACACTTTCTGAGAATATCTTCCGTGATTGTAGGCATGAAATATTCTAATATTTGTCATATATTATAAAATTCCCATATTTTATTTATCTTCTGTAGTATATAGGAATTATTTGTGTCTACACTGGGCATTAATAAATGTGCTATTCATATGAAGGCAGAAAATAATGTTTGCCCTTTTTAAAGTAGTAACTTTGCAGGTTTTTTTTGATATCTCATGGAATATAATAATGGATGAGTGGTTTAAAGGAAAAGGAATAGTGGTGAGTTGAAAATCTGAGACCCTCCCAAATCTGCAGAGAATTGGTGCAAGCAGTACTATGATGGTAAATGCTCTTTGGTTTTGGGATTGCTCTGTCTCTGGTACAAGAATCCTGTTGTCATAATTATGTGGACATTAATATATTCCACTGGAGTCAGGAGGACTGGCCTGAGACTGCATCTCTGTGTCCACAAGGAGACAAGATCATTTGTGCCTCTCAGGTAACTCTGGGGACTTGAAAAGTAGAAGGATGAATTTTGAAAGGCTTCTTTTTCTAGGTCTTTTCCTGTAAATTTTCATTCCTTCCTTTTTTTTCTTTTTTTCTTCTTTTTAAAATCAAGGTATTGTTTTTTATGGTGCCATTTTGCATCTCCTTTTACTGAACAGCAACTGGAGGCACTCCTTCCATTCAAGCAAGCATTTCAGTGCTGTCTATACAGATAATGGCTCTTGTTAATTAAATGTAAACTGGGCAGTTTTCCTACCTATGTAAACTTTAACTAATTAATCTGTTGTTCAGCAGTGTAAAGGGTAGTTTTCTGTAAAGACTTTATTGAGATGTAATAACATTTGAAATTCCGCTATCGGAAGCACCTGGTTAGAAAGGGAAATTTAGCTCTCTCTTTTGCACAGATTCAAGCAGCTTTACAGGAGGGTTTTTAACTGGGTCTGTACGTGCCACGTGTACCCACTGATGAGCAGTGGACCTACTTTGCTGCTGTTAAAGCCCCCTGACAGTTGTCAAAACAAGAAGTTTTGCAGCTGCCCTTAAAAATGTGATGATGGATGTTTTGGGTATGAGGTTAGTCCATAATCATGTCAAAGTTCTTTATTGTTCTGAAGAGGGAGAGCAAAATGACATATGGACCTACAGCCTCTCTACATCGAACAACCGGAGTAGGTTGTTAAGGGCAGGTGTCAAGAGGATGGTATCAGGCTCTTCTCAGTGGTGCCTGGGGACAGGACCAAGGGGCAACAGATACAAACTGGAACATGGGAAGTTCCATCTGAAAGTGAGGAAAAACTTCTTTCCTGTGAGGGTAGGAGAGCCCTGGAAGAGGCTGCCCAGAGAGGTGGTGGAGTCTCCTTCTCTGGAGACTATTCCAAACCCACCTGGACATGTTCCTGTGCAACCTGCTCTGGGTGGACCTGCTCTGGCAGGGGGTTGGACTGGATGATCTCCAGAGGTCCCTTCCAACCCCCACCATTCTGTGATTCTGTGATTTTGGGACCATTTATACAATGTTTATACATTGAAAACAAAACGAGTAGCAGGTCATAGGAGATAGGAAGCTTCCTGCACGTCCTTGGGTTCACTTAAGAACAGAAACCAATATAACCTCTGATAAGGTCATTCCATTAAGCATTCCAAGATTATCAGAAGGGTTGCACTGTATCATAAAAGAAAAAAAAAAAAAAAGACCAATCCCCCAGGTAGAATATAGCAAGCAGAAGCAGTTTTCCAGCTCCTCCCATTGGAGCACGTAAGTGACACACAGTTATAGTTAACTTTGGATTATCAATCACTGTGAAGCAGAATGGGAAGGTTGGGCATTTGAGCAGCTTTTTCCCTGGTTTTGCACTCAATGATGAGGCTCTCGGAACCGATCCTAGACCTGGAAATGGCAAACTACAGCGAAGTTTTAGACCCCTCGTATACGGCACTGGAGTTCGAAACGATGCAGATTCTGTATAACGGCGCCGGTGAGTTCTGCTCCGTGCTGCAAAATCCAGCCAGGGGACAGAAAAAGCAAGGTTTAGTAATGCTGGAAGGTGTTAGCTCAATGGTTTATTCATGGAGCAGTTGGGGGTTGTTTTCGTACTACAAATCTCTTCTTTTACACTTCATCACTAACTCTAAGTTAATAACATTATAATTCTTTAACATTAAGGAAAATAAAAGAGAAGTTATTTGCAATAAAGTAACTGAACTGTACTGTCACCAGTCAGTTAATCAAAGGAAGAAAATTCTGTGTTCAGCAGTTGTTTTATTTACTGTAAGACAACTGAGTAACTGGCATTGACAGTTTGGACACAAAACTATATTTCGTATATAGGATTCAGAAGGACAGGAAAGAATTATAACGGAGGCTTGTGAAAAAAAAAATCAGCTATTGTTTCTTGATGCCTAATCTCTAATTGTGGGACTAATATTATATTTATTGAAATGTTAATCAAGCCTTTCTGGATACATGTATATATGTGATTTTTTAAAAAAATTGTGTTGATTTTCTAGATGTTAATGTTTAGCTGAGAAAAACTACTTGTATTTGTCTACTGTAACACTTTAGGTGAAATTTTTAATCAACAAATTTTTGAGAAATTGTATGAATGTTATGCTTGAAATAGGAAGCAAACATTTCACTCTGCCGTCTTGACCAAAAAAAAAGGGAAAAGTCAGTCTGTTAAAATGAAGAAAAATATCAGGCAAATTAAACTACTCTAAGATGGCTTTCCAAATCTTTTAATATGCTTTAAAAAAATTGTTTTATTGTATCATGAAGTATAATTCATAGATCTATCGTAGTGTGTATTTTTAAAAGGCAGAACAAATATTTAGTGATTTCCAGGAAAAACACTTAGCACCTGCATTTCCGCATGTCCCTGCCATATCCAACCCAGGCTGGTTTTTATTGTTGGGCTTGAAGTTTTATCTGGATTTCTGATGCTACTTTACGGCAAGCTCAGTAAACAGAAAGGTAGATTTGGTTGTTGATTTAGGAAAAAAACCCAAACCATTAAGCCTTAAGTGAATTGGAAGCTCCTGACAATGATTATGCAACTTTTACATGATTTCTCTGCTTTTTGCTATAATATGGGCCATTTCATTGGTTGGTTGGTTGTTTTTTTTTTGCTGAATAACACCCTCTCAGGTCTGTTAATGTTACATGAAACAGGGAAGAAGATTAAGGAGGTTATGCTGGGTGGCATTATGTGTTGGTGACAGAGCTGGTTAAATTATTCACTGTCAGTGATTAGTTTGATAATTATTAGTTATTAGGTGTAACACTTTTCCATTTAGAGCTTGCTTTAGGTTTAGCTGAAGTATTTTCTTGTGGAATTTATAAAAGCATCGTCTTGTAGCTACAGTGCTAGTCTGGAACTGAAACCTGCCTCTTCTGAACTTTCCTATTTGTATTTTCTAACTGTCTAAATTAATTAGAAACATCCAGAGAAGTTTAACAAGCTGCATTCAGGCAGATTGCACAGTTCTGTTGAAATCAAGAAATTTTGCAAAATCAGGTTGATTTCCCAGACAAGGCATACTAAGGAAAATAAGTATATCCTTCTGTATATACCCAACTTGCATTGCTATGAAATATTTCATTACTAAATTTAAATATTGTATTTTTGATTACTATGATGAAAAATTGCAAAACTCCAAAACAAAGGTTTTTTAAATTTTCTAGCTAAAGTAATTCCATAACTCATTTTAAAAAATAATTTTCCAGTCATGACACCTAGTTTTAAAATAAAATTTTTACAGAACTGAATTCTTACCTTTAAGATTTTGTTTTCATTTCATAATTCCCATGTGTATTAACAGTGTTACTTCTTGCCCTGTCCACTCTTCATGAACTCACGTACTTGACTTTCTAATGCATGTTTGAATAACTAATTAACATGGCACTCTTTCCTCTCCCTGACTGAACAACTGTGGCTGTTTTGGGCACACTGCAAACAGATTTTCTTTCATAAAAATCAGAAGCATAACAGGAAAAAAAAAAAAAGATATTTTGCAATGATTTATTTGAACACATTTGTTAAACATTGTGACTCAGAGAAGAATAAATATGGCCGTTCTGATTTCAGGTGAATTTCTTCCCTATGGTTTACTATATTCAGTGACTAATTGTTAATCACGTAGCTAATATTCTCTTGTGCAAGTAAAGTGTTCACCAATGCTCCTTTGGAAAATTTGTTCAAGGAAACAACACAGTGCTTTTTTTCATTAAGTATTATGCAAAAATTGTCTTTTTTTTTTTTTTTTCTGTTCACACATGCAGTTGCATCTTTGTATGATCGTTGCCAGCTCCTGTGAGAACTGACACATGAGATCTTTGCAGGCTTTACTGGGCAGCACTGCTTTGTGCCAAAGTTCCTCTTCATGTTAGTAGGCGTGTGTACAGAATTATGCATGCAGAGTTACACTTTAATTTCTGACCCCTTTTAGTCAGAAACAGTTTGGAGTAAAATTATTTCGTGTTGCGAACTTCATAAATCCTGCTCACCTCTCCATAACTTTGAGAGCATTCATCTGAATAAGAACCAGATGTAATTAGATGTGCCACGCTAATGGGCATGTTCAGTTTGGAGAAGAGGAGGCTGAGGGGAGACCTCATTGCCCTCTACAACTACCTGAAAGGAGATTGTAGAGAGGTGGGTGTTGGCCTCTTCTCCCAAAGGACGAACGACAAGACCAGAGGAAATGGTCTGAAGTTGGGGCAGGGGAGATTTAGATTAGATATTAGAAAGAATTACTTTACTGAGAGAGTGGTCAGGCACTGGAACAGCCTGCCCAGGGAGGTGGTGGAGTCACCATCCCTGGAGGTATTTAAGAAACGTATAGACATGGCTCTTCAGGGCATGCTCTAGTGCCCAAGGTTATTGGTTTATGGTGAGGTGTTGAGTGTGGGGTTTAGTTGGTGGGTGCGGTGTTTTTGGTGGGCGTTTGGTGTGGTGTGTTTTGTATTTGTTTGGGGTTTTTTTGTTTGTTTTTTTTTTTGTGGTTGGACTCGATGATCTCAGAGGTCCCTTCCAACCACTAAGATTCTGTGATTCTGTGATTCTGTGATATAAATAGTGAGTGGCAATTAGAAAAGGTCAGAAAAAAACCTAGTAAGTGGCAATTAGAAAAGGTCAGAAAAAAACCCTATCTAAGCACAAGTTGTTCATGGTGGGATGATTGAAAGTCTTGTCTGTAACTAGCTGTGTTGTTTTTGCCTCTCCACAGACGGTTCCGGAGAAGGGGTCAACATGAACGCTGCCGACGGGGGGGTCAGTAGTCTCTGTGCCATCTGTGGAGACCGAGCCACTGGGAAACACTACGGGGCTTCCAGCTGCGACGGGTGCAAGGGATTCTTCAGGCGCAGCATACGGAAAAACCACGTCTACACCTGCAGGTATTTTAAAAGTTCATCAAGAGTCATAAGATCACAGAATGGTTTGGGTTGGAAGGGACCTTAAAGATCATCCAGTTCCAACCCCCTGCCCTGGGCAGGGACACCTCCCACCAGACCAGGTTGCTCCAAGCCCCAAGAGGCACTAAATTAATTGATTATGTAGGGGTGTTTTTAGCTTTTTCTTAAGGAATTCTAAGCAGCGCTTTTGGTGAGCATGTGATTCATGGTATATTCTCATGATTTGGGAAAAATGTCTTTTATTCAAGACTACTCGACACTATGCATTCTACATTCCAGATTTCTGTGGATATTGTTCTTATCAGTATATCACTCAAAAGCTGTTTCACTCTTTTATTTGTAATTAGATAGGTCATCTTCTAAAAAAAAAAAGGAAAAATTCTCAGATTTTCACTAGCAATGTGAAAACGGTAGTTCTTAACTGTTCTCTAAGAATTCCTTTCATTATTTTTTTTTTCCTAAGAAGGCCATTTCTGAATAGAAAGCCTAAGATTTATGGGTCTTGTTTTATAGACTGTACAAGCACATCTACAAATCTTCCCACACTGCCCTTTTGAGTGACTCTGCTCCCTCCCCCATCAGCCTGAAAGGCAATCTGCTAATTTCTGGATATCTGGCTGCCCAAATTATCACCCTGCAGGTCCGTGCACCATGTTTGGTGAATTGCCCTGTGCGCGCACGAGTCCATAAAATGTCAGTTTTAAGCCCCATGTTTGGTGAATTGCCCTGTGTGTGCACGAGTCCATAAAATGTCAGTTTTAAGCCACACATAGAATATATGGAAATTTCTGTGAGTTCAGACAAATCAGAGAAAACTTTTTGTACGAAATGCTTGTTGCTGGAAATATTTGCTACACTCTTCATTGGCTGTCTAATACTCTTATAAGGAACTCTGTCCCTCATAGACATATCACAGTGATAAAGCTCCTTTAAGTGGTGTAACAAAAGCTGATATAAGTGATTCTAAGAGCTCTGCAAATCAGAGATCTATTTATCTAACAAACACGTGCACAACAAAATGGCAGAAGCCCAACAGAGAGAGGAGGAGATACCTCGTGTACATTCCCCTTAGGTCCACATGTAGGTGTGGACGAGAGCTTGGGTGAGCCACGTTGGAGCGTCGTGATCTGTGTGTTTCCTCCTGTCTTTATTTCATTGCGTTGTTAGAAAATTTCCCTCCCGTTTCCTGTTTAGATTGTCATCAGTAATGACACAACATGTGGCTTGTTCATTGGTATTTCGTAACCTTTCGTAACCTTTGCCAGCCAAGGGCACTGATTTCCCAGCTGAGGGCTCCTCCGTGCCAGTGACACCTGGCATTTTCCTTGATTGTAGAATCATAGAATGGTTTGGGTTGGAAGGGACATAAAAGACCATCCAGTTCCAACCCCCTGCCCTGGGCAGGGACACCTCCCACCAGACCAGGTTGCTCCAAGCCCCATCCAGCCTGGCCTTGAACCCCTCCAGCGATGGGGCAGCCACAGCTTCTTGGGGCTACCTGGGACAGTGTCTCACCACCTTCACAAGAAAGAATTTCTTCCTAAGATCTGGTCTAAATCTCCCCTCTTCCAGTTTAAAACCATTCCCCCTCATCCCATGGCTCCCCTCCATGATCAAGAGTCCCTCCCCATCTCTCCTGGAGCTCCTTGAGGGACTGGAAGGGGCTCTAAGGTCTCCCCGGAGCCTTCTCTTCTCCAGGCTGAACACCCCCAACTCTCTCAGCCTGTCCTCACAGCAGAGGGGCTCCAGCCCTCAGAGCAGCTTTGTGGCTTCCTCTGGACCTTCTCCAACAGGTCCCTCTCCTTCCTGTGCTGAGGACTCCAGAGCTGGACACAGAGCTCCAGGTGGGGTCTCCCCAGAGCGGAGCAGAGGGGCAGAATCCCCCCCTGGCCCTGCTGGCCACGCTGCTGGGGATGCAGCCCAGGATGGGGGGGGCTTTCTGGGCTGCCAGCACACATCCTTTCCTTTTTCTATTTGTAGCTTTTCTCTTTTTTTATTTTTTTCCCCCATTGATGCAGTCAGTTACGGAGACATCTCACAAGCAAACTGAGATGTAAATGATGCACATAACTCCAACATTTTCCCCACTTGCCTGTTCCAATCCATGTATCTCTACACACACATGTATACCTGCACACTGAGCAGTATGAAACACCTCTCTAGACTGATTAATAAAAAATAATCAAAAAATATCCCAAACCAAACAGAATAAGTAAGTCTGTGTTCATAGACATTATTCTGACAGGTCAGATTAGTTGGTTTTCTTTTTTTGTCATCAAGGTGCTGCTCTTTTAATGCTTTATACATTTACCTTGTCTTGTCTCTGATAGATTCAACCGACAGTGTATTGTTGACAAGGACAAAAGGAATCAATGCAGATATTGTCGCTTAAAAAAGTGTTTTCGTGCAGGAATGAAAAAAGAAGGTAATTGAGTAATTTATTATTTGATATACAGAGAGAAATAATCTGAATTAGTTTTAAAATGTCATAAAAATACTAAGAAGCCTGCAGCAGAATAATTCAATGGAAAGTCTGCTATAGTGCCTTCGTGATGGAGAAATGCTTTTATATTCAGGTGAAATCTAATTTTCAGGTGGATAAGCAGTTCTAACACTTTGAGCATTAGCAAATCTGTGGGTTTAAATTAATTTTTCAACTGTTTAATCCATGAATCCTGGCACCAAAATTCATTGATTTCTAAATCATAGAATCATGGAATGGTTCAGGTTGGAAGGCACCCTAAAGATCATCAAGTTTCAATCCCCCTGCCCTGAGCAGGGACACCTCCTACTAGACCACATTGCTCAGAATGTTGAGGCATATCCTGGAAAAGTTCAGTTTATGATATTTATTTTTACCAAATTTGAGTGATGAAATCTATGGGATTTTGTTTCTATCCTACCTAAGTAATGACAGTGCCTATTTACTGATTCTTCCCTTAAATTTAAATGTTTGAAGCATTTAATCTAGAGGAAGGAGTGTGAAGTTGAGTGAAAAAGTCATGGTGAGAACAGTAGTGGTGGCAGTTGGTGGAGTGTCCACATTAGCTGAAAAAAAATTCCAATGTCATTAGGGTATAATATGGGAAGATTGTTAGTTGTGCATCTCACTGCCAGACATGGAGAAATGCAGGAGTCACAGTGATGCTCCTGTGAAAGTGGAAGGACCAGTTGACAATGAGAGAAGATAAATAGGGAAGAAAAGGCAGTGGAAATATCATAAGATTTTTGTATCAGGTTCCTGGGGCTGTTCCTTTACTAGCAATTAGGATGTGGTGTCAAAGAGATGCCCTTGATCTGATTTAAATAAGCACTCAAAAATGGTTCATCACAAACTTTGGTACCTGTTTTGTTTGGAGCATGGTGTATCTGCCCTAAGATAATGGAAGCTGTTTCTTTATGTTCTTATATATCTATACTAAAGCATTGCTTTGCTAGTGATCAAGTTTTAGTATGAGGTAAGATGGATTTTCTACTTGCAGCTGGATGGGGATATTTTAAACAGCGTTACACTGCATATGTGTGAAATAGGTTTGCTAATTCTTGCGGCTCTCCTTCAACACGAAATTAGCCTTTTGGAATTTGAGCCATTAAATTGAGTAACATATTGTATTTATCTTAGCAATCTGACGTGAAGAGAAGGGTGAGGAAAAGGGAAGACCTGTGTGTCCATAGCAGCCCTAAAAGTTTTGCAAAAAAAGCAAAGCTTCACAGACTTTCAAAACCTTGAATTCAAGAATTGCCTAGCTCATTAGGGACATCTGGAAGTCATCTAGCCCAGGCCCCCACTTAAAGCAAGGCTGACTTCTAGGTTCAGTCAGGTTGCTTGGGACCCTCTCCAGCCAGATTTATGGAGTCCCCGAGAGGGGAGATTCCACAACCTCTCTCAGCAACTTCTTCCAGTGCTTGGCCGCCCTCATTGGGAAGAGGTTTTTTCCTTATATTAAATCAGAATAAGTCTTTCTGGAGTTCAGGTGGTGTCCGTTGCCTCTTGTCCTTTCACTGTGCATCTGAGAAGAATCTGGCTCCATTTTCTGTAAAATTACAGAAATTAGACCCCTACCTCCACCTTGTTCCTCTCTTTTCCACATAAACAGATTCCTCTGTTTCACCTTGTGCGGGTGAACTGTGCAGGACAGGGAACTGCTGAAAAGAGTCCAGTGGAGGCTACCAAGATGATCAAGGGATTGGAGCACCTCTCTGATGAGGAAAGGCTGAGGGACCTGGGGCTGTTCAGCTTGGAGAAGAGAAGACTGAGGGGGAAACCTCATCAATGCTGGGCAATATCTAAAGGGCGGGTGTCAAGAGGATGGGGCCAGACTCTTCTCAGTGGTGCCCAGTGACAGGACAAGGGGCAACGGGCACAAACTGGAACAGAGGAAGTTCCATCTCAACATGAGGAGGAACTTCTTTCCTGTGAGGGTGGCAGAGCCCTGGCAGAGGCTGCCCAGAGAGGTGGTGGAGTCTCCATCTCTGGAGACATTCAAACCCACCTGGACACGTTCCTGTGGGACCTGCTCTGGGTGACCCTGCTCTGGCAGGGGGTTGGACTGGGTGATCTCCAGAGGTCCCTTCCAACCCCATATAATTCTGTGATTCTGTGATCCTGTGGGTTACCACTCCATAGCCTTCCACTGGACACTGCCCAGTTTTCCAGGGTCTTTCTTGTACTGGGGGAGCCCAAACCAGAGAAATAAACACTGCCCTCAGGACGCTAACGCAGCCTGATGCATGGCCCCACTGAAATCACCGTGAGACACACTGCTGCCTTGTGTTTATGAAGTGAAGATAGATCCTGCACAAAAACGTGGGTTGCCACTCCATAGCCTTCCACTGGACACTGCCCAGTTTTCCAGGGTCTTTCTTTTCTGGGGAGCCCAAACCAGAGAAATAAAAACTGCGCTCAGGACACTAACGCAGCCTGATGCATGGCCCCACTGAAATCACCGTGAGACACACTGCTGCCTTGTGTTTATGAAGTGAAGATAGATCCTGCACAAAAACTTTTAACCTAATTTATGCCTCTCTGCCTCCTCTGGTCCTGCTCCCTATAAAACTTTCATTTTTCCATAGTGTCCAAGCCATGTTTATTCAAGGTTTCCCAGTGCTAAAATAATTCAAAACACTGAATTGTACATTTCAGTGCTTGTGTGGTGCTATATACCTCTCCGCACTGTCAGGGGATGTCTCGTAGCACAAGCGTAGCATAGTCTATATTATCGTTTCTTAGCTAGTTTCTAGCAAATTGCTTTCTTTTCTTCAGGGTGGAGAAAAGCCAGTAAAAGCTGCACAAGTCCTGTGAGCAAATAGTCCCCCTTCCTCTGGTGAAGGCAGTTTTAGCCTGAACTGACAAAAAGGAGGACAGACAATCCACTCTAATAATCCAAAATTATGCATAGACAGGAGAAAGTTGAAGAATTTCCCTGTGATTCTCAAAGTGCTCCACCAGTGACTGTCACTAGGGATTGTCAGAATAGCAAACTATTTTTCTAATACTAATCAGCGCTGTCCTTATTTTAATTCTCTGCATAGCGCTTAAACTGCTGAGATTCAGTGAATGTTTTTTTCTCCATTCTTTTTAAAAAGGTCATATTTTTTGTTTCCCGTCTACACGAACATTTAGCACTTTGTGTTTACCACTGCACAGCATTTCTTACTGTGACCTTAATAAAAGGCCCATCAGTAAGTGTCCTTGGCAAAAAGGTAGTGCACCTCTGGAATAAACTATGTGCATTGTTCAGATAAACCATGAAAACTATTCAGAGCATAGAATATTTTATTTTTTTTATTGAAGCCTCTGGTACTGCTCCTAAATTCTGTAATGCAGATTGTTTCCCACAAAGCAGCAAACATATCTTTGGAAATAAAGCTGCTGCTCTTAAAGATGATGAGATTCCTTGGGCAATAAAAAGATTTTGATCAGCACAATTCTTTTTTTTTTTTTTTTTTTTCTTGGCCTAACCTTGGACATGGTCTAGGTTTTAGAAGAATCTGATTGATAGTTTTGTTTTTTCTTCTTCCTTCAATTTTTTTTTTTTTTTTTTTTTTCTCCTTGGCCTAACCTTGGACATGATTTAGGTTTTAGAAGAATCTGATTGATAGTTTTGTTTTTTCTTCTTCCTTCAATTCAAAAATAAGCTTTGTTGCTTCCAAAGGTCTTTCAACTCTCCCTTTGTTGGACCCCATGAAACAAAATTTACAGGCCTAAAACTTTTTTGGTGTTTTTAAACTTATTTATTTTTTTACTCAGTTAATTTTCTATAAACAGGCTAGCAACTCAGTGTCGCTGGGGAGGAGGATGAGATTTAGGTTTTAACTGGTGGATTAAGTTGAGGACTGATCCCTGTTTCAGGGTGTCGTGCAGGAGAGCAGCAGAAGGGCTTTGACACTTCTCTGGCTGAGATGCTTTGCCATCGGTGGTGCTGTGCCTCCTGACCTCCTCAGCAGCCTGGAGGTGTTGAGTCCTACCACTATCATCCCTTATTAAATTGGTTAAAATGACAGCGTGTGTTCAAATTCAAAGGAAGAGAGAGGTTTCACTGTAATAAAGCCAGTCACAAAAGTGCTGATAATTCAGTATCTATCTACAATTACTTATTGGTAGTTTTTACAGGTAAACATTGCACAGATAAAGATGATAAACATGTATTGTCATCCTTCCTCATCACTCAGAGCTAAAAGCATAAGGTCTTTTTCAAATGTCATACCTTTTGATTCTTCCTAGTTATCTAGTAAGCCTCTGAAATGACACTGTGTGGCAATGTCTGCAAGTCAATAAATGAGATTATTATTTTCCAGCTGTACAAAATGAACGGGACAGGATAAGTACGAGAAGAACCACTTATGATGGCTGCAACATTCCCTCGATTAGCACGTTGTCACAAGCTGAGACACTCTCCCGCCAGGTACTGGGCTCTACCACAAAATTATTTGAAGGTTTTAAGACCATTTTTTCTAAAGTTAAATACTTTTCAATTTCTTATTGTATTGAATATAATTATTGAGATTAGTTTTTTCTACTTCCAGAATGCACCCAGCTTCCTCTATCCAATGGAAGAATCAGTAATAGAATACATTCTTAAAGCAAAGTCAATAAAAAAATATCCTACCTTGTCCACGACAATATGTCCTAGGCGCCTTTCTTAATAAAGCTTTATGATTCTTACTGCTTTTAAATCAGTTGCTGTCTCAGACAGATGGTGGCATCTATCTATCCTTGAGGCTGGCTTTCCCATGAAACATTAGGGAAAAAATTGTCCAAACCCATTACTTTCAAAGGGGTGTGGACACTCATTTCCTTACATTCTTTTGAAAATCCCATTTTTAATATCCTTAGACATTATAAATAAGGCAAACAGAATTGTTCCAACTATAGCCTATTCACATCTCGCTTTTAAATTTTCTTTGTCTCATCTGAACTTCATTTTCTTTTTTTATTTTTTTCCCCCCTATCCAATCAATTGCTGAACGGAACAGTCTCCAGTCCTTTTCTGCACCTCAGATAAATCACGGTCATTGATTCTGCATTCTTGCACCTCTTACTAACTTACTTAGAATTTAACTGCCACCTTTATGATTTCATGCTGACTGATTTATACATCCCAAAATGTGTTGTAATCTCATCCTTTATCAGCATCTCTCTTAGGGTGGAACTGTCTGTAAAGAATTGATGCAGGAATTACTGGGTGATAGTCTTTGGTACATATTGCATGTCTGGGCAGACTAGATTCACATAATGGACCTTCCTACCTTTCATACCTATACAGTATGAAAAATATACCTATTTTTAACCTCTTTAGTAGTTCTTTGAACTTGCTTATTGTGCTTTTTTTGTGTTACTCCCTTAATCATTTCCAACTGTTACATGCAATTCAGGAATAAGAGCTGTCTAAAACAGCATCACATCCTCAGCCTTTCCTGCCACAAAGTTCTTTTCAGGCTGTAGATTCCTGGCCTAAAACATCACCTTGAGTATACACATAAATTATTCTACTTATTATCTGGCATCATAGAATCATAAAATCATTTAATTGGGAAAGGACCTTTAAGATCATCAAGTCCAACCACCACAGAAGAGATCAAGAGTGGGAATGAGAAAGGGAGAGAGGTCGAGGCAGGGATAAAGAAAAAAGAATGCCAGAGAGACTGGGATGATAAAGAAAAAGGAAGGGAAGACCACAGGAATAAGAGAAAGATATCAGAGAAGAAAGAAGTTCAAGAGATATCCCCAAGGAAAGAAAATCCAAGAAGCATCACAGAAATTAAAGCAGTCCAAGTCCTCATTGGTCACCCAAACGTTGCTGTGAGCAACACTATCAGGAGTGACTCTCCTGACAGTGACGATTACAACAGTGGAGATGATAAAACTGAGAAGTACAGATTTTTGAGCCAGGTTGTAAAGCCACAGAAATCCTGGAAAGAAGAGCAGACAGAAAAATCAGACAGAAAGGAAAGTTCCCAGTGTTCTGAAGAACCAGAGTTTAAAGAGAGCAACCAGATGCTTCACAACACTCCTGGTCCAGGGTTCAGGCAAATCTTGGTCATCGCCATGATGAAGAAAGAGTTCCTTCTGACAGAATGCATGATGATAGCAAGAAGTATAAAGTACGGAAAAGACTAAGGACAAAGATGATGACATTGGGCTGGAAACGTACAATAATAAATCAACGACTGAGGAAAGCCAGGTCTTTTCATCCAAGAAAGGTCAAAAATGGAAATATGTAGAGAAAAAACAGAAGAGGTTCAAGGGTGATTCTGAAGTTTCTGACAAAGAAATTGTTCCATATCATAGAAAGAAGAAATGCCCAAGAACCCCCTCTGTAACAAAAGAATTGGTTGAAGCAGCACCTGAGAAGGCTGTGGCAGAAGTCCCCCCAAAAAGATACATGTAATGACTGTTTTGTTGTAGTAAGAGATGACTGCTCCCACTATGCCAAGCATATATGATGAGTCATCTCCACAACAGTGGAGATGATAAAACTGAGAAGTACAGATTTTTGAGCCAGGTTGTAAAGCCACAGAAATCCTGGAAAGAAGAGCAGACAGAAAAATCAGACAGAAAGGAAAGTTCCCAGTGTTCTGAAGAACCAGAGTTTAAAGAGAGCAACCAGATGCTTCACAACACTCCTGGTCCAGGGTTCAGGCAAATCTTGGTCATCGCCATGATGAAGAAAGAGTTCCTTCTGACAGAATGCATGATGATAGCAAGAAGTATAAAGTACGGAAAAGACTAAGGACAAAGATGATGACATTGGGCTGGAAACGTACAATAATAAATCAACGACTGAGGAAAGCCAGGTCTTTTCATCCAAGAAAGGTCAAAAATGGAAATATGTACAGAAAAAACAGAAGAGGTTCAAGGGTGATTCTGAAGTTTCTGACAAAGAAATTGTTCCATATCATAGAAAGAAGAAATGCCCAAGAACCCCCTCTGTAACAAAAGAATTGGTTGAAGCAGCACCTGAGAAGGCTGTGGCAGAAGTCCCCCCAAAAAGATACATGTAATGACTGTTTTGTTGTAGTAGGAGATAACTGCTCCCACTATGCCAAGCATATATGATGATACACTCTTGGCCTGTTTTTCCCTCAATTGAGTGAGTCTGTAAGATGAGTCCAGTCCTGAGGAGAGAGTTGGAGGAGGTAGTAGTGTCACAAAACATTGGCCAAATCCTTCAGCTGTGAAATGAGGAAGGAGGTGGCATCCATCCCTTTTAAAATTTTCATATTAAAATAGGGAAAATGAAGTATTTTGTCCTGGAAGATCCCTTACAGGGGGCAATTGTACAAGGACAATTTTTGTCCCACAAAGCCAGGAGAGGCTTCCAGGATTATGTAAATATGAAAGGGACCTGCTGGACTCTCATAGGAGTCAAGGCACCTGTCTCTGATGGTTCTCTGGACAATAGGGATCTAGTCTTATATTGTCATGTTCAAGCCAACGTACAGTGTTCAAGTCATGTTCAATGTCAATGGGTACAAGTTGCACCAGGAGAGGTTTCAGCTCAGTATAAGAAATTTCTTATTTTTCCTTTTTTTCTTATTTCTCCTCTTTTTTTTTCTTTTTCTTTTTCTTTTTCATATTTTTCCTTTTTTTCTTATTTTTCCTCGTTTTCTTTTTCTTTTTATTTTCTTTTTCTTTTTCTTTTTCTTTTTCTTCTTCTTCTTTCTTCTTCTTCTTTTTCTTTCTTCTTTTTCTTTCTTCTTTATCTTTCTTCTTTTTCTTTCTTCTTCTTTTTCTTTTTCTTCTTATTTTTTCTTTTTTCCTCCCTGGAATGATAACAGCTATAAACTGACCTTCTTTTCCCAGACTTGGTTCTATCTTAAGTTGCCTTTCCTGCCTGGCTTAAGAGCAAGCCTGGTTTTGTTCCTTTCCTTGAAAAGTCATTAAGAATTTCAAGATTTGGCTCAGTGATTATGTGGAAGTGCCCCAGCTTCAGGCCCAGAAAGATATTGCTCTGTCCTTATTTCACAGAACACTGTTCACTGCAGGTGGTCTAATGCACACTCATATCCTTTACATTTGCTCTGAAATGTCTCAGGCCTCTGCCTATGCTGCTGCTTCATCATTACAAACCATTCTCCTCCAGGCACTAAAACCCCCCTGTTTTACCTTCTAAAGTTAATGATACTTGTCTTTTCACTAGAAGAACATGCTACCCCTTTATATCTCCCTTTCTTTCCCCATAATGTTACTGCATGCCCCTATGAGCTCCTTGGTTTGGTTTTTGGTTTTTTTTTTGTTTTTTTTTTTTTTTCTGAAATGAAGTGAATGTCAACCATTTTAAAGGAATAAACCCACTTCCTCCAACCGCCATAAAAAGGGCTCTGGTAGATTTTAAATTAGTATTTTGGAATGAGAAGATGCTGTATCATGATGTGAATAGTGTAATTTTTAACATACTATAATTAATACACACTGGTAATAATGAGAAATAAAATTTTATAATTTACACACAGACTAATGGTCCATTTGATCAAGGAATTTCTCAAGAGTATGCATGATTACTGCTGCCATTTTTTTCTTAAATATGCTGTTAACCAGTGAAAATGCAATTAGATGAAATGTAACATTGTTATTTTTTTCTCTCACTATGGCCAGATCTCAATCTCCAGTCCTGGTGCTAGCACTGACATAAATGTTAAGAAAATTGCTGGTATTAGTGATGTCTGTGAATCCATGAAGCAACAACTTTTGGTCCTGGTGGAATGGGCTAAATATATTCCGGGATTCTGTGAATTACCACTGGATGACCAGGTATAAGAGGAGACCAAAGAGAGAACTTTAATGAATGTCCTGTTATTTCTGTGATATTTAAATGTTACGATTAACCACTCTTTTTTTTTATTTGATCACATAGAGTTAGGCTAGATCCACCCTCTTAAAATTTTTTAAGGTTTTGAAATAGCAGCGTCACAAAAAAGCCAGAAGAAATTGGTAAGGCTCTAGCACAGTAACAAAAAGGAACAGAAAACTAGTATATATTTCACTGTTTCAGGCTTTCTGTATTCTTTTGGAAGCAGAGATACCAAGCTGCATGGAAAAATGAAAAAAATCTTGTGAAAAAAAGCCATGCTTTTTTTCTGTCGTTACAAATTATTTATTTCATGTTCCCCTTTCATTATAATATGGTTTTGGACAGAGACCTGGACAGACGTTGTTTAATTTGAGGCAGATCTTCTCTACTTGCAAACTTTCATTATAATATGGTTTCGAACAGTACGTTGTTTAATTTGAGGCAGATCTTCTCTACCTTTCATTATAATATGGTTTTGGACAGAGACCTGGACAGACGTTGTTTAATTTGAGGCAGATCTTCTCTACTTGCAAAAAATTAAAGCCATTAGAATCTCAAACAAATGCCAAACATACTGATATTAATCCACAGGAAACAATTTTTCATGTAATAAAATGTACTAAAATTATATTGTATGTCATGAGTGTGGGGGAAAAAAAGCAGCCTGGCAGAGGCTGCCCAGAGAGGTGGTGGGGTCTCCTTCTCTGGAGACATTCAAACCTGCCTGCACACGTTCCTGTGGGACCTGCTCTGCGTGACCCTGCTCTGGCAGGGGGTTGATCTCCAGAGGTCCCTTCCAACCCCTATTCTGTGATTCTGTAAAAAAAATGCCACTTTTGCATTAGTAATAGCCTCTTTCTAAGGGACGCTGTGCAAACAAATGCCACTTTTGCATTTGTAATAGCCTCTTTCTAAGGGACGCTGTGCATTTAGTTATAAAATAAACCATCTGGGTTTGAACACATGATTCCTGACCTGGGAACCAGCCTGGTGCACAAACCGTAGATGAGGCCAGAGCAGGTGTGTTAACTCTGCTGAGAACCTGAAAAGTCTGAACACGTCAAGTATTCCTGGGTGCTGTGTGCCTTCACATCAGTCATAATATTGGCTTGGATCCCTACGAAAAGAATGACTTGCCAAGACAGGAGTTCCTTGAGGAAGTAGAGGCCAGCGCTGAAGTTTCAAGCAGACCTTAAAAAAAAAAAAAAGGAAAGCAAATAGGTGACAAAGAGTAAACTAATGACCACATTTTGAAGTGCCTTCCTGGTATGAGTCAGGTTTCTTCTTTGTTGGCAGTAGTGGATATTTTAGCGTACTTGGCTTTGTTGGGGAAACAGCTCCATTAAGTGCCACATAAAGTTTTGGTTCAAGGTGACAAAACTGAAACAGTGATAGTGCTGAATTTATTGTTCGTTCCAGCCCACGGGAGTCTTTAGTATCAACTTAAAATTCCAGAGGAAACTTTGTTAAGGGAATAGGCACTAGGAAATAAATGCAAGTATCGTATTTACTGAGAAGTATTTTGCAGAGACGGTGTTTAAAATCTCAAAGTGAGAGAGAATGACAATTTAATTATAGTGGGCTGTTAGTGCAGTGTTAAAGTTTCTACATTTTGCATTAGAATCTTAGTCTTAAACATGTACCTATAGCTGAATGCACTCATGGTAATATGCCTCCTCATTTATTTTGCCCTTTTTTGGAACTTACTGCTTTATCTTCTAAGGATTCTGATGTCTTTTTCCTTGAGGTTGCCCTGCTAAGAGCACACGCCGGGGAACACTTGTTGCTTGGAGCAGCAAAACGGTCCATGGCCTATAAGGACATTTTACTTTTAGGTAAATATTGGTTTTGCTTTAATTAATAATGATGATGTTCTAGTACATTAGCAACCATGTAATCACTTGAGTGGGACAACTCTTCTGGCACAATCGAAGCAATGCCTTCTGTGGATGCTAAATTGCTATTAATGACATATTGTCATGTGCCCTGTTCCAGCAAAAGCTGGTGGACCATTTCCTGTGAGTTTCTACAGCTCAAGGTTTATTGGATAGCAAAAAGACACAACTTAAAAGAGTCCCTGGCCAATTGTCTCTTTGCATTAGAATCCTTTCTGCACCTTTGTCCCATAAAAAGCAACAACAACAACAAAAACACCAAAAAAAACTTTGTGTAAGAGAGGAGCAGCCGACCTGTGGCCCATTTACTAATTTCAGTCTTCATGAAAATCATGTATCTGGAGCTTTCTCAAGAGCCCTTCAGACATAGTCAGAGAAGATCCTACAGGCTACAAAACTGGATGGCCGTGTGGAAGATCTTGTAGGTCTTGTAGGTCTTCTTGTCCAGGACTTTTGATGTGAAAAAAAATAGTGGAATATGGACTCAAACTAGTTTCTTCACTGGTGGCGTTGTACAAGGAGGTTTTCCTCTAGTTTTCTTCCTCCTTAGTCCTGCCTTTTTAATGGCTCTAAATCAGCCTTAATATATTTTTACTTATATTAAAAGGACAAGAAAGGCTTGTTCTGGAGATACGACTCTCACCAGGATTCCATTCAAGTTAAAAACTACACAAATTACTTTCTTAACTTAATTCTTTCTCTAGATACAGTTTTACTGACAAAATTAACAGAAATAAAAAGGAAATATTGGCAGTTTTATTGGGATTAGTAGGTAATAATGAAAATAAAGATAAAATTATAAGAACAAAAATTATAGTCAGTACCACCAACATCAGCATATATACCAAAAGAAGAAACAATTTGAGGCTCCAAGGCTTATTTCTGATACTTGGAGGTAGATATCTATAAAGCTGATGAGTCATTTTGTCATGGATCTCTTGTGATAAAATCATCAGTTTTTCTTTCAAAAACTGCTCGGTGGCTTTTGGAAACTCTGTGGTGATTTCTGGACAGAATGTGAATTATGATGGCATGATGGAAACAGCTCCAAAATGGAAATGTAAAATTAAAAGAGGAGGGAAAATTAGTTCTTTACTGAAAATTTTATGATGCTTCTAAATTTTATTAGGAGTAACAGGGGCCCCTGTTAGAAAAAGAAGCATTCCTGGTGTCTCCTCTGGAGGAAGGCATCTTTGTCCATTGACAAATCCTGGTCATTCAGATTGGGATATACTATTTCAATGGGGGAAGAAGAAGAAAAAGATAAAGGCCTACTTGCTCCATACCTGTGCATTCAAATATAGACCTCAGTAACTGGACGTGTTGAAAGATGTCACAGATTATTTACTGGGTGACAGCTATATTTTGCACATATACTCTGTTTGCAAAGAACAGTTTTATATGATACAAAGGAGAGTTATTACTTTAAAAAATATGAATTTTATTAAGCAAAATGAGATGTCCTTTTGAAAGGACAAGGATGTTACGTCCAAGTCTTTATATCCACCCACATGTTGGTGTTCTTTCTCTCTAAGGCAACAACTACATTATTCATCGCAACAGCACTGAAGTAGAGATCAGTCGAGTAGCAAATCGGATTCTAGATGAATTAGTTCGACCCTTCCAGGAAATTCAAATAGACGACAATGAGTACGCCTGCTTGAAAGCGATTGTGTTTTTCGATCCAGGTAACTTTTAAAAAATATCTCTCAGAATCGTTTTACATGTGATTCTATCGAAAGTGATTTTTGTTGTTGTAGCACCTGCCCTTGTTGTCTAGCTGGGTGGAAAGGAATAAAATGAAAAATAGTAAGGTGCTCCTCCCAAATCATAATCTGCCTTGACTTTAAGTTTTCATCCTTTTCTAAGATGCAAAAGGCCTGAGTAATCCAATGAAGATTAAGAACATGCGGTTCCAAGTCCAAATCAGTTTAGAGGATTATATTAATGACCGTCAGTACGACTCCCGAGGAAGATTTGGAGAACTTCTGCTTCTACTGCCTACACTCCAGAGCATCACTTGGCAAATGATTGAGCAAATACAATTGGTTAAACTATTTGGAATTGTCAAAATTGACAGTTTGCTTCAGGAAATGTTACTGGGAGGTAAGCTAACAACTTGTTAAATTTACCATGTGGTATTATGTTGAATTTATCATACTACAGATGGAAGAATCCTTACAAATATTTCATGAAATCCACTGTTAATGCAGTCAAAACACTTAAAATAAACACAGTGCTTAATATGGTTTAAGTCTGGTTAAATTGTTTAATGAATACCCAGAGGAAATTATTCAAATTGCCAATCAAAATATTTGCTCAGTGGAAATGTAATTATTGAAGTATAAGTCGCTGGCAACAACATGCTTTTTTTGAATTGATGTACGCTCCTGTTATTTCTGCAGGTACTTCTAATGACGCCAGTCATCTGCATCACCCCGTGCACCCTCACTTAGCCCAGGATCCATTAACTGGCCAAACTATCCTCATAAGTTCAATGTCGGCTCCTGTACATACAGAACAGATTTGTAAGTAATTGCGAGTTAGCCTTCTGTCATAACATTTCACTGTTACATTTAAGAATATTAATTAGAATGGTGGCCTGTCAGTGCTCATAGAGCTATTTCATCAGCATTCTCAAATTAAAATAATTGTGCATTAAAAACGTATGCATATAAACAGTGTTAAGTAAGAGACTTTGACCTGAATTTAATCTATTTTTAAAAATTCAGCACCATTCTGATATAGCATTGTTTTCACATGCACAATTTTTAATGAACTAAAAATTCCAATAATTAAAATATCCTCTTTCCTTAGCATGACAAATATAACAGGCCTTCCTTTCAATGCAGTAGTATGTAGATGTGTATGCAGAGTAGGCCAGAATGTAAAAATACGTAATTCTTTCTATATTCTTTTTTTCAGCAACTCCAGAAACTCCATTACCTTCACCTCCTCAAGGCTCTGGGCAAGAATACAAAATGCCTACAAATCAGGCTTCAGTCATCGCACAGCAAACTATTTTGAAACAAAAACCATTGTGATAATGTTTCTGTCTCTGTCTTACCCTTCTTCCCTTCCTTCCCTTCCTTCCTTCCTTCCCTCCCTTCTTCCCCCCTTCCTTCCCATCTTCCTTTATATGCACTAGACAAATTGGTAGGACACTTGCACATTTAAAATCTCAGGATGATAAAGGAAAATATTTCCTCAGCAGCCACTACTGGGGGTGTTTCTTAAAACACCTTATGATTTGGGAAGTGATGCTCACTGCTCTGACTGCCGTGTACAGCTGTAGCTGTGGACACCGCAGCCGGACAAATTTGTATATAGGTTGATATTATTTTTAGATCTTTTAACTGCACAGATTCTTTTTTTTTTTTTTTTTTCCTGGTTTAGTTTTTGTCTTAATATTATTGTTTTAGATGTGTATATAATTTTTTTTCATTGTGACGGTACGGGTTAGTGCTTGTTTAGCTGTGAATTGTAGACAAAAGGCGGGTTAATCAGGCAAAAGCCAAGATTCCATTAATAGTAAGGCAGCAGGCTCCCAAATAAAGCACAAGCATTAAATAAAAAGAAGAAAAAACTTAATGGACCCAACCCATTTATTTTGTCTTAATATTATTGTTTTAGATGTGTATATAATTTTTTTTCATTGTGACGGTACGGGTTAGTGCTTGTTTAGCTGTGAATTGTAGACAAAAGGCGGGTTAATCAGGCAAAAGCCAAGATTCCATTAATAGTAAGGCAGCAGGCTCCCAAATAAAGCACAAGCATTAAATAAAAAGAAGAAAAAACTTAATGGACCCAACCCATTTAAAATAAACAAAAACAAAAAACAACTTTATTTGAAAGAACCATCCCTTTCAAGTAAAATTTCCACAAGGAGTTTAATCCTCCCTGCTTACCTCTTCGTGTGAATCAGGGGACCTGCCATGGGCAAATATGTCTGAGGACTTTTTAAAATCTTAAATTATAAATCTTTAAATTTTTTAAAATACACAGTAGCATCTTTATCAGTCAATTGCAGTTCCAAGGCATGGATGCTACTGTTGATATTGCTAATAGTTAGAGCAAGGATATACTTTTTGGTCAGGACTAACTAATACTCTTCCCCAACAATTTCTGGGCATGCTTTGGGAATGAGGTCAGTCTAGGAACATTTTAAACAAAAACAAAAAACAACTTTATTTGAAAGAACCATCCCTTTCAAGTAAAATTTCCACAAGGAGTTTAATCCTCCCTGCTTACCTCTTCGTGTGAATCAGGGGACCTGCCATGGGCAAATATGTCTGAGGACTTTTTAAAATCTTAAATTATAAATCTTTAAATTTTTTAAAATACACAGTAGCATCTTTATCAGTCAATTGCAGTTCCAAGGCATGGATGCTACTGTTGATATTGCAGATAGTTAGAGCAAGGATATACATTTTGGTCAGGACTAATACTCTTCCCCAACAGTTTCTGGGCATTCTTTGGGAATGAGGTCAGTCTAGGAACATTTGTCCCAGGTGTTTTGGATACAGCCACTGCTCTTTAGGGTCAGAGGGACTATAACAGCCTCTGGGAGGCCATTATAACCCCTTCCAGTCCCTAAAGGGGCTTCAGGAGAGATGGGGAGGGACTCTGGATCAGGGAGGGGAGCCATCGGACAAGGGGTAACAGTTTTAAACTGAAAGAGGGGAGATTTAGATTAGATACTAGAAAGAAATTCCCTGCAGTGTGGGTGGTGAGACACTGGAAGAGGGTGAGTGTGGGTGGTGGGACACTGGAAGAGGTTGCCCAGAGAAGCTGTGGCTGCCCCATCCCTGGAGGGGTTCAAGGCCAGGCTGGATGGGGCTTGGAGCAACCTGGTCTGGTGGGAGGTGTCCCTGCCCAGGGCAGGGGGTTGGAACTGGATGGTCTTTAAGGTCCCTTCCAACACAAACCATTCCATGATTCTAAGCAGGGATATGGCCAGACCATGGCACTTGACCTCAGGGCTGAAGTGTAGACTTTGCACTGTTTGATTTCCTACTGTAAATGTAGCTGTTGTGTTTGTTTGCCAAACTGGCTGGTGGATGCACGTTTCAGCAATCGCTCTAAACTCCACCTACAGAGAAGTTGTAATTATGGAATAGCTCCGTGTCTGGAGAGGTATGGCTTGCTGCAAACACGCCTGAGTTCAGCTCCAGATGTTCCTGGTTTGAGCCGTGGTATTTCAAGCCAGAAGAAAGCCTGCACACCAAATACTAATCCTCTGGATTTTTAAGGGTTTTTCAGAAGTTTGGGATGAATTGATTTACTGTGACGAACCCCTTTCTCCTCCTCTTCCTCCCCTTCCAGTCTGGGGGGATCCAACATTGACAAAGATAAGTGTCTGGAGTCTGTAATAACCCATCTGGATTCGGGCCCTCTGTGGATTTGCACAAAGGGGACCTTGTGACACATACTCACTTGGGCATATACTCACTCAGTTACAATTTGTGAAAATAATCTATTATGATGTATAAAGTGGTTGTTGTTCATACAATACTGACATCATAAGAAAATCACCACTTTGCACATTTTATTTATTCCAGACAGCAGTTATTTTCCATCAGTACTTTAAAGTAGACTTTCTTCCAGGAAGTTATGTAAGACAAAAAAGGAGAAAAAAAAAAGGCAGTATAAAATATTACAGTTTGCTGAACTATTACAAAGAGGAAATATACTGGAGTCAAATTCTGCAAGGTGAGATGTTGATTGTCCTGAAGCTGACACCTGCATCAATCACAGCACCCCAGGATGGTGTGGTTAAATCTCTGTCTTTTAAAAGATGCTCAAACAAACCGATACGATCCTTCAGACACGTTTTTGCAGGCAGGAAATGCAACACAGTCAACGCTGAGCTGACCTGAACATTTAAAAGGCTTTGATGAGAATACACTAAACCACCGGGTAGATGCTGTGTTTCTTTATGCTATTTTAAAGTAGTCGCTTTTGTAAAGTCTGCGTACAGTAGCTCTTAATGTTTACCTTTGGCTTTTTAGAGTGTTTTCCTTTTTTGCTGGTTACTGTTCATTTTTTATCAATGCATTGCTCTTTTTACAAGTCCCTTTTAGTATGAGTTTTTATGACAGAATAAAGTACCGAAGTTGTGCCATTAACTTTAGGGGAATCCGGAGGGTGCTATTTTTACCAGTTGGCCACCAAGGCTTTGTGGGGAGACACAAAATTAAAACACGTGTAAGGGATACTGAAGAGCCCAAAAAATGACTGATGTGGGTCGCTTTTGTGTCGTTGTCATACAAAGAATGTTGGGCTCAAGTTGGATCATGACTTTACTGGATCATATTAATTCAGTTACATAAACACAGCAGTACTGGCCTGACTAAAAACATTTAACTGGAAATAAAAAGCTGTCCCCATGTTGGCCACCCTTTCCTTATAAAAGCAATGTGTGTAATAGCTTCATGGGCTTAGTTTTTACACTGTACTTTAGATACTAAGTGTACAATAAAATGTTCTCACACACTGCCAAAATGTACTGGATGAAAAATATACTTTAGTATTTTATCTGACAAAAAAGAAAGTTGTTATCTATTTTGTACGATATATTACATTTTTGAATAAGAACACCACTGTAATTTATTGGGAAAAGCTGATTTATTTTATAAATGTAACATTATTTTTGTAAACTTAATTATGAAAAATCAGAAATGATTAGCTTTGTTAAATATTAAATTATAATGAGATGTAACTTTATATGTTTGAACTCTGATACCAAGTTCTTGTGTTGAGCATTTGGAATTGAAATAAGTTGCTGGAAATATTTCAAATGGACTGTTTTTCATCAAAGCTCAATAAAGAAAAATGAATGATCCAAATGACACATTTGCCTTTTGGTAATTTTTTTTTACTATTTACATAAACAATGACAATGCTTGATATTGCTTATGTTATGAATTAATATAAACCTGAAACATGCTTTCATCTCTACAGTATTCACAGCATCAGGGAGTGGCTGAGGGTGGAAGGGACCTCTGGAGGTCACCCTTATCCAACCCCCCTATTTAAGCAGGATATTGAAATCATATGGAAGAATATGATGGCAACATTTTAGTTGATTCTACTGTAACAGGGCAAAGTATTACAGAGCTACGGGTTTAAATTTTTAGGTCTGACTCAGAAAAGAGCTGAAGCACATGCTTAATTCCATCTGTGTTTAAAATGAAGCATATGTTCAACAGCCTCTTTATTTTTTTTCTGGACAAGGATAACTTAACAAATCATTCCCTTTCATTGGTCTCGTGCATTGTTATTTAGTCTAATTCAGCTGCAACTGAGCTGTTATTTATTTTGTAGATAAAGATTTTAAAAACTTTAGAAAGACTCTTTAAGATATATATGTTTTTTTAAATGACCAGTCTCTCCTTGGCCTTGGAAAGCGTGTCCAGTTGTATGTCTCCAGGTTGCATGTCTCCATTGAGTAGATTTTGAAGAGAGGTGGGGCGGTGCTAATAAGGCAATGAATGGGGCTGTTTGCTTTTGCTGACACGTGCTCTACCCTGGAGTGCAGAGCTGCAGGGCAAAGCTGCTGTGGGAGGAGGAAAATAGTCCACTTACGAATGCTGGAGAACTTCAGGTTCCTCTGAAGATCTCGTGTCTGTGGCTGATTACTCCAGATGAAGGATTTCTCTGCCATTTACTTCTAAACGCTCACTTGGGAGATGGAAGTTTATGATTTTAGAGAAGGGAAGAGATTTTTTTCTTTTCAGCCTACAATGGAGAAAACATGTAAAAGCCCCTACGTCTTCGATGCCGTGACGTGCTAGCACACTCTTTAAGAATTTCCATAAATCAACTTTGCAAACAGCTCCAAGAGGTGAATCAGAAGTGTATATTTTACAGAGAGAGATGGATGCATTAACTTTCAGTTCTAGTCACTGTACAAAATTCCTTCCAACTATGGAATTCTGAATGTGAGTGAAGGTATTTACAGAGCTCCAGGAACATTCTGTGACAGAAAATTTAACATTCTTAGAATATAAGATAAAATTTCTTCCTAAATTCTAATCTCCCCTTTTTCAGTTTAAAACCATTGCCCCTCATCCTGTGGCTCCCCTCCCTGATCCAGAGTCCCTCCCCATCTCTCCTGGAGCCCCTTTAGGGACTGGAAGGGGCTCTAAGGTCTCCCTGGAGCCTTCTCTTCTCCAGGCTGAACAACCCAACTCAGCCTGTCCTCACAGCAGAGGGGCTCCAACCCTCAGAGCATCTTCGTGGCCTCCTCTGGCCCCGTTCCAACAGGTCCATGTCCTTCCTGTGCTGAGGACTCCAGAACTGGACACAGAGCTCCAGGTGGGGTCTCACCAGAGTGGAGCAGAGGGGCAGAATCACCACCCAGCTGAAGCGACGATGCCAGCAGTCAGCGTCTCCTTGCAAAGTGATTATGGTGGCAGCTGATCCAATTTGCTAAATCAGGCTTTATTTCATACTTCTCACGGGCCAGCTTACATGAGATAAAAACCTGGCCAAATTCTCAGTTGTGTACAAAGGCAACATTTCAAATTGATAAGACTTTGGAAAGAAAAAAACCAACACGTTGGAGCTGCCGATATTCTCGCCTGCCACCTTCACATCACCCACA